CTAGCTGTGTGACTCTGGGCAAGTCACTTAACCCCAATTGCCTCACTTAAAAAAAAAAAAAAGAAGAAGCCAAGTGGAACTTACGTTTCCATTGTTGATACAAACTTAAATATTTCCATATAAAAAATTCCACATCACCTTGTTTGGTAAACTATTCTTTTTTTTTTTTTTTTGGGCAATCAGAGTTTTAAGTGACTTGCCCAGGTCACGCAGCTAGTGAGTGTTATATGTCTGAGGTCGAATTTGAACTCAGGTCCTCCTGACTTCAGGGCCAGTGCTCTAACCACTGCACCACCTAGCTGCCTCCTGTTAAACTATTCTTTACAACAGTTTAGACACACACAGTCATGGAAAGTACAATCAGTCAGTAAGTCAATAAACATTTGTTAAGTGCTTACTATGGACAATGAGCAGTTGGGTTAATAAGCAGTTGTCTAAGCAAGTTTAATTGGCGCCCCCAGCCACTCATGACAGCTACTGCTCAGGCATAAAACTAGCCCATTATGTTGGGTTGGTAGTAGAGACTGGAGAGGACTGGACAAACAATGCCCATGCTCCCACTGTGATATGGCTCTGGGGAGGAGGCCCTTTTCAGGGTCTTGGTCCTGGTCTTGGGGAGAAGGCTGGGTGAGGCCTGCGTCAGACAGGGGACAGGAATTCCAAGGCTGATGGCCAAGGTCAGTCTACGGAAGAGACCTTTTGAGGCCCTCGGACTTAGGAAAAGGAAAGGCAGGGGCAGCTAGGTGGTGCAGTGGATAGAGTACTGGCCCTAGAGTCAGGCAGACCTGAGTTCAAATCTGACATCAGATACTTGACAATTCCTAGCTGTGTGACCCTGAGCAAATCACTTAACCCTGATTGCCTCACCAAAAAAAAAAAAAAAAAAAAGGCAAGCAGGGGCAATCTCGGACTCAAAGCCATGGTCAGCCTGGCTCTTGGTGCCACAACTCCCTTGGGCCTTGTGCTGCTGGGTTTCTATGTACAGGGTAGGGTGGGGCTTGTGATCACTGTGCTTTTTAAAAATCTATCTGCTAGGTGGCGCAGTGGATAGAGCCTGGGCCCTGGAGTCAGGAGGATCTGAGTTCAAATCAGCCTCAGACACTTGACACTTACTAGCTGTGTGACCCTGGGCAAGTCACTTAACCTCATTGCCTAGCCCCCCTCTCCCCCCCCAAAAATCTAACCTTTAATGTGGTAGTTGTAAGTGATAGGACTCCAATATGGAATCACTTAGGCTAAGGGGTCCTAATGACCATAAACAGTTAAGTGACCACAGACAGCCTGTACCTTTCCCTTGCCCTGACTCCTTCTGACCTGTGTCAGGCAATGGAAAGGATTGTGGCTTCTGATCAGACAAGGTTCCTGGTCAGCTGCAGAGGCTGGGAGCCATTGCCCATTGCTGGGGCCCTCGGTGACCAACTCAAACCTTCACTTACCTTCTGGTCCTCATCGGGAACCTCTCCCACCTGGGTCTGGTATTGATAAGGAATTTCCCCATCCCATTTAGATCTAATTAGGAATGCCCTTTTCCCTATGTCTGGCATCCATTCCCTGTTCACAAACAAGCACACATTTAAGGTATAAAATTTCCCGGCTCAGGGGCCACTCAGTATTATCTCCCACCAGGTAAGATCTTTGGTACATCCCTCCCTCCCTACCCAGTGAGTGACTCTGGCCCTGTGTGTATGAGTGTGTGTGTGCGCATGTGTGTGAATATGTGTGTATATGTAAGCATGTGTATGTGAATGTGTCTGAGTGTGTGTGTATGTGAATATGTCTGAGTGTGAGTGTGTGTGTCTGTGTAAGTATCTGTGTGAGGGTGTGTGCATATGAATATCTGAGTGTGAGTATGTGTCTGTGAGTGTGTGAGTATATGTGTGTGTATATGTGAATGTGTCTGAGTGTGACTATGTATTTATGTGAATTTATATGTATGTGTGTGTCTGTATGTGTATGTGAATGTGTCTGAGTATGTGTATGTGTGTATGTGAATGTATCTGTGTGAGCATATGTGTCTGTATGTGAATGTGTTTGAGTGTGAGTATCTGAGTATGTATGTCTGTATGTATATGTATGTGAATGTATCTGAGTATATGTACCTGTGAGTATATGTGTATGTGTGTGTGTGTGTCTGTATGTGTGTGTGTGTGAGTATAAGTGTCTGTGTGTACACCCATGCTGGTGCCAGTTTTTGCCTGCTTGCTTCTCAGACTATTAAGTAAACTCATGCTTGGATGAGTTTCCCAGCTACCCATTGCCTGTAAATCCTTGGACTCGGGTCTTTTCTCCAAGCCCAGGTGTGAGGCCAAATAGAGCAGGCCCCATGTGGCACCCCGGGTCCAGGCAGGTGGTCCAAGGCCCTATCTGCTTCCAGTCACAGCCTGCTAGAGGGCCCACTGCTCCTCCTTCCATGGCCTTCCTCTCTCCCCTCCACTGGCAGTGTCCCCTGCCCTTGGCTGGATTTAGTGACAGCCCTCTCAGAGGGGGCAGGGACCAGTTTTACCCCACTCCCAGGAGGCTATTAGAGTAAGAATCCAGAGGATCCCCAGGGACATCCCAAGGAATGACTGACCTAACGGGAGGAGGGCAGGAGTGAGCTGAAGCAGAAGAGCAGGGATCACAATAGTGTATGTGGAGAGAAAAAAGCTTCAGGGGCTGCACCAAGCTGGTGGTCAAGCTTGGCTCTGAAGGAGAGAGTGTAGCTAGGGCCTGGAAAGAGGAGGGGGGAAGGACTATGGGAGCAGCACAGCTGGCGCAAACTGGTACCCTTGGGCGATGGGTTGGCTGGATTGGCTGAGCTTTTTTCTCTCTGTTCTTTTTATTCTTTGTTAGAGAAGGGACAGCTCTCCGAGGAGAGGGAGAAGTAGAGACCAAGCTTGGCATTGTCCTCAATTCCTCACAATCTCTAGCCTATGCGTTGCCCAGGCCTGTTGATTTTCACCTTTGTTTATGTCTCTTGCCTTTGCCCCTTTCTCTCCTCTGTCACTACCACATTGGTACAATGCCTGAACTAGGGCAAGAGCCTCCCTTTTACTGGTCTCTCCCTACTCTAGGCCATCCCCCATTCTACTGTCAAAGTGATCTTCCTATAAAGCAGATCTGACCATGTCACTCCCCTACTCAGTAAACTGCAATGGATCCCTATGACCTCCAAGATCAAATGTCAAATCCTCTGGTGTTCACAGCTCTTCCTGACCACTGCCCCCTACCTCACCAGTCACCCCCCATGCGCTCTGTGATTCAGGGAGTAACACCAGCCTCCTTACTGTTTCTTGAGCAAGACACTCCTGACTCTGGGCCTTTTTCTGACTGTCCCCCATGCCTCGAATGATTTCCCCTATTAGATTATGAGTTGCCCAAGAGAAGGGATTGGGTTTGGCCTGTCTTTGTATTCCCAGAACTTAGGATAGTGCCTGGCACATAGTATGTTCTTAATAAATGTTGATTGACTGAATAATTACTAGTTCTCTATTCACTCTCCTGTTTCCCCCTGAAAAACTCAGTGGAAGCTGCTACCTTTAGTTGGTAGGTGGGAGGTGGGGAGACACTACCTGAACCTCAAGGCCAGGGAAAAGATGAATAAAAGTAAGTCACACCAACTGGATAAGCAAGGAGTGGCCACTGAGGGCCTCTGCATGAGCAGAGTGAGTCAGGAAATCTTGACAGCTACCTGGTGGCCCTTTGCTGGGTCTGACAAGAGCTGATCAGGACATGGCCTTTGGGAAAGTCAGCTTAGGCAAAAAACTGGCATGTGTGGTTGGGCTGAGTTGTCAGTGACACCTGGAAAGGCCTGGACATACCATGCTGGTGTGTGTGTGTGTGTGTGTGTGTGTGTGTGTGTGTGTAAAGCTTTTAGCATCACTGTACAGTGAAGTGGGTCAAGGATCACTTAGGCCTATGACCAAGGTCAATGTGGCTCTTTCTGCCTCAGAGTCTATGTGCAGGGCCAAGAGCTAGATGGCCTCTAAGGTCCCTGCTAACTCAAGGTCTCTGATGCCTGAGGAGGCCCTGTCTAGTCCCTTTCTCTTAGGCCCAGAAGGGCTGCCAGCAGGTGTGAGGGGGATCCAGGACTGAGATTCACTACTAGCCCTTAAGACATTTTATTAGCTCCTAGGCACTGCTTGAACTATGCAGCTTGTGGGGCCTCCAGGGGAGTAAGTGAAGAAGGGAGCCACCTCCCACTAGGAGTGAGAACAGGAGATTGCTAAATAGGGCACTGGATGTCATCCCCACCCTTGGGACATCTGGCCCTCAGGTGGAAACCTCTGAAACAAGGTTGAATGGCCCTAAGAAACTCTGCTGAGACTTCAACCCAGGCCCTGCCCAAGTGGGGATCATGAGCTTCCCTCCGTGGACATTGAGACAGACAGTGTGCTTTCCTGTCAGAATGTGAGCTCCTTGAGGGCAGAGCTGCAGTACTTAGCATTTCTGCTTGCTGACTTGACTTGGCCTGGACCCAGGAGCTGCTACTGCTTATTGGGACCAACATGGAGAACTAGCCTCATCACTTTGAGAGACTGTGGCATCCTGCTTCCCCCAGCCCCATTTCTAAGCCCATCCCCTTTGTGGGAGGCCCAGGTCTCACTGGGACAGAGTAGATCAGGGCAAAAGTGAAGTCTGTTTTTAATTGATTACAAACTGGGTGAGCCCCTGGGTCTATTGCAATTTCCAGAACTAAGAAATAAGACACACACCTTTTGAGGGCAAGTAAGATCTCTTTATTTTCAACACTTACAAAACAACTCTGAAGGAGCAATGTTTCTAGACAACTGTCAAAACAGAAGAGTATGCTTATCTTATCACCTAAATGGAATCAACATAGAAGACAGCCAAACCCTGGTTCAGTAACTGGCCACGGAACAACACCTTAAGATGAGCGGTCACATTTCAAGAAGGGGCAGATAACCAGCCCCCATGGACCAGATAACTAAATATAACCACCCCACCCCCATCCAGCCCCCCTCCCACCCAAGCACCCACAACCAATGAAGATCTTTGATCACAGAACATTAATACAGGTGCTGAGATGGATCCGAAAGACTGCAAAGAACCCGGCTAACAATGCGGATTTCACCTGGGCGCTACAAAGCTGCTCTGCAAGGAGGAAAGGGGCTTCCTCAGTAGAAGTAGTCAACAGCAAACTTAGAGGAAAAACATAGACCCTGAACTAACACAAGCACAATGTTAGTAATCATTTTTGTAAGATCCAGACCAATAACTCGGGAGAAAAGCAAATCTGACAAGTGAGTAGCAAAGATTACCATGCCCTCAACCCGCTTTCTGCTGGTACTCAGCAGAGGCCACCGGGTAGTCAGTGGCGGCATTAAACAATAGAGAAGGATTGCTGGCAAAATATTTCAGGAAATTTTGCAAATGGCTCAGCAGCACATGCAGACTACCAGCCCCCAAGGGAGCACAGGCCAGCATGGGCCCCAGCTGTGGGAAGAGGCGCAGCAGGTGGGCACCCCCATAGATGTGGGACATGTGGGCCTGGGGATGGCGGGCCAGGATCTGGCGGTGCTGAAGCTTCTCGAACTGGTAGAGAAGCTGCGTGCCTAGCACCATGTCAAAAAACTCTTGGAGTGTGACCACCAGTTCATCGATGGCATATGTCTTGAATGCAGTTGTGCAGTTTTTCTGGGAGGCAACATAGTCTGCCAGGATGGCATTCATCGGCTTCTTGGCAGGTAGGGTGAAAAGCTTCTTCTTGACAGTTACCAGCTTCCAATCTTGCAGGAGCAGGGGCTTCAGGGCCTTGGGCAAGCGGATCTGGACTTCTAGCTTGCCTAGGCACCTGTGTTCAGGCTTCCCTGCAGCTCCTTTCCCTTTCCATCGCCCTTTTCCACTTGAGGGCCCGCTTTTTTGCTTGTGTTTGCAGGGCAGCTGTACCTCTGGAGCCCCAGAAGGGCAGCCTTCACCTTGGTCACCCTGGGCCCCAGAGGAGGCACCAGGGCACTCCCCCTGCAGCAGGCCCTTGGCAGCCATCTGGAGGGCAGCATTACTGTCCTTCTGCCTGTGCATGGTGGTGTAGCGGAGAACCCGGCCCTCTGGGACCCATTCATACTCCCATTCAGGAGCTACTGGGCAGTGAAACCCAGTAGAGAACATGCTGCTGCTGGTGCTAGGCCTGGCTTCCCCTGCGCCTACAGACCTCTTGCCTCTCCTCTTACCACACCCCCTCCGGGGCATGGCTATGCCTATGTGGCTGCTGCTACTGCAGAGACTGTACCAGGGCCTTGTGCCACTTGGGGTGGGTCCTGGCTTGGGGGCTGGTGGGGCCCACCCAAAGAGACGGGTCATAGCCACTCTCAGGGATGCACTGATACCACGACTCCTAATTGGGTAACGGACCAGGTATTTCACGCGTTTGTCCACTACATCCCCCTGAATACACTCACCCTTGCGCATCTTACCCTCATGGAAGGTCAGCACAGGCTCCCCATCTAGGACAGTGGGCCGATTCTTGACCTTCCTACCCTTGGGAGGGGCCATTGATCAGTAGGATGGAACCTGGGGCACCTCTTCAGACTATTTCTGCTTCACCACTGGGCTGGCCAAATGGCTATGACCTTCCCTAATCTTTGGCTAGAGCAAGCAGGCAGCTGCAGTCTAGCTGGACGGCAGGATGGCTGGCTGGATGGCAGGACGGCTGGCTGAACGGCAGAACGGCTGGTTGGAGGGCAGGACGGCTGGCTGGACGGCTGGATGCCTAGCTGGACGGCTGAACGTCTGGCTGGACGGCTGAACGGCTGGCTGGACGGCAGGACGGCTGGCTGGACACCTGGCTGGACGGCAGGACGCCTAGCTGGGCGGCTGAACGGCTGGCTGGACGGCAGGACGGCTGGCTGAAGGGCTGGCTGGGCTGTTGGACGCCTGGCTGGACGGCAGGACGGCTGGACACCTGGCTGGACGGCAGGACGCCCGGCTGCACAGCAGGACGCCCGGCTGGACGGCTGAACGGCCGGCTGGACGGTAGGACGCCCGGCTGGACGGCAGGACGCCTAGCTGGACGGCTGGACTCCAGGGAACTCACTGGACTCGTCGCCTTAGGGAAAAGCCGCCGCCTCCCTCGCTCGCCTCAGCAAAGTGGCTGGGCTGGGACTGGTTGGCGCGGGCGGGCTTGCAGAGAATTGTAGCAAAGTTGCAGCCTAAAGGCAACGCAGCCTGAGGGAAAAGGCGGGCCAGGTTGGGGAGGGGGGGAGCGGGGAAGAGGAATTAATGACCTGACCCTCCCCTTTCAGTGGAAAAGTTCAGATCTGGGTTCAAATGTCAACCTCACCACTTTTCGGCAGTATAGTCTTGGATAACTCTTTTCCCCACCACGGGCTTCAGGCTGTAGATGTGTACAATAACAACCTAATCACCAGCAAGTGGGGCTTCCAAACTTGAATTTGGGTTTAATTTCTTCTCGGGGTTGGGGGCAGCCGGAGCCGCCCAGAATCCACCGGCTGTCCCGCCCACTGCTATCCTCCGCGCGCTCAGCGTTTTAACGCTTTTCCAGAGCCTAGGCACCAGGGGCTTCAGAATCTCTGAGAAGAATAGATCTGTTTTCAATTCGTGGGAAAAATCGACGAGGTAAAGACATTCTTTACCGAAAGTAGTTCCGGGGGACAATAATAAAAACTTGGTGAGATGATAAAGTAAGTCACTTTGTGGCGTCGCTCTAGGAATCTCCCCACGTCATTTTCATTTGGGATGCAGTGCGCACATTATGCTAACATTTGACTGAGATTGGATTTCAGCATTTGGGGGCTCATTAGTGTAATTTTAATTTTTTACACCGTGAAAGAGTGTGCAATTTATTCTTATTTCATATCCCATGATAAATGAAAAATTATCCAATGGACTGGACCTGTGTCTTAAACAGAAGATCAGAAATTCATAATAGCTATGAAAAGAAAATTCACTTTATCTTAAAAATGACAGTAGTCAAGTGGAATTATGTATTTAAAGTGCTTTGCAAGACTTAAAGTTATATATAAAAATATTTCAGTCTTGTACTACTCTTTGTGACCTCATTTGTGTTTGTTTTTTTTTTTCTTGGCAAAGATACTGGAATGGTTTGTTATTTCCTTCTCCAGCTCATTTTACAGATGAGGAACTGAGGCAAACAGGGTTAAATCACTCTCCCCGGGTCACACAGCTAGTAAGTGGTAAGTGTCTGAGGCTGGACTTGAACCCAAGGTCTTCCTCACTCCAGGACCCAGGTGTATCCACCAGCCACCACCTAGCTGCCCATTATAAAAATATTAGCTGTCATTATTTCCCTCTCCCTTCTTTCACTTTTATGTGTCTACATTAACTAAATTTCTGCTTCTGTCTTTTTCCCTCCCCTATCTTTCTCACTCCTCTCTATGTGCAGCTCTCCTTTCTCCTCTCCCTCTGCCCCCTACTCTCTCTCTGTCTGTCTCTCTGCCTCTGTCTCCATCTCTCTGTCTCTCTCTGTCCTTGTTCTCTTTCCCTGTCTCTTTCCTCTCCTCTCCATTAGACCCCTTCTCTGTGTCTCTTGCCTCCCTCCAGCCCTCCTTTCTCCCCTCTCTGTGCTCCCTACCCTTTCTCTGTCTTTCCTTTCTTCTCTCCTTGTGTCTCATTCCCTCTCTGTCTCTCTCCTCTCCTCCTCTCCTCTTCATGTTCCCATTTCTCTCTCTGTGTCTGTAGTCTCTCTCCCCTCTTTTTCATGTGCCCCCTTCAGTCTTTCTGTCTCTCCTGTCTCTTCTCCATGTACCCACTTCCATTTCCCTGAGTCTCTGCTCTCTCTCCATGTCTCTCTCCTCTCCTTCCCATGAGCCCCCTTCACTCTACCTCTACTCTCTTCACATCTCTTATGTTTCTTTTTCATGTGCCTCCTTCACTGTGTTTCTCCTCTCTCCTCTCCATGTATTTACTTCATTCTCTCTGTATCCCTTATCCTCTCTCTGACTCTCCCGTCTCTGTCTCTCCCCTCTGCTATGTGCTCCCTTAGTTCTCACTGCCTCTCTTCTCTCTCCAAGTCTTTTCTGTCTCTATGCCCCTTCCCTCTCTCCCTGTCTCCCCCCTCTCCTCTACTTGTGCTCCCTCCCCACTCCTCTCTATGCTCCTTCCCTCTGTGTTTCTCCACTCTCCTCTCTCTCTGTCCCATTCCCTCTCTCCCTTGTATCTGTGGCCCTCACATCCTTTTATTTGTCCCTTCTCCTCTCTTCTATCTTTAAAGTTCTTGCATTTCATTGATTTGTCTTTCCTTTTTCCTTTCTATTGCATTGATGCACCTTGTTCTGACCTTGCAAACATCTACGGATCTCCCTGACCTCAGGAAGCTTCCCTTGGAACAAAAGGAACCCTTTTAAGTAAATCTCATTGACCTGTGTCTGAAAGTTCATTCTGTTTTTAAAAAATGAACAGAAATCTATTTATTTTCTCTCCTTCCTACCTCTTATCTCGTTGGAGCAAAAGAAAAGTGAATTTCTTCTAACAGGTAGGCAGAGTCAAGCAAGCACTTCCCTTGTGGTTTTCTACAGAGATGTCCATCTCCTTGTGCAGCCAAACTCCGTCACCTCTCTATTCTCTTCTAGCTTCTTCAAAGTCCTGTCTTTAGATGTCTTCCCTACTGTTTGTTGAAGGAATCACTTCTCCTTTCCCCCCTCCTTCTTTTCCACTTTCTTCAAACCTTCATTTGGGGCCTTTCTCGTGTGAGATATCATTGCCCTCTGTGTCTGCATTGGGATCCTACATTTTGTCAATAAATCCCCCTTTCCTTTCCTTTTTCTAAGCAAATGCATTTACTAAAATGGCATAGCGATGGCATATCCAAGTCATTTTTTCCCTAGGAGAGAGAGATATCCAAAGTGGTGTAGCATCATCCCCTATTCCCTCCAACATAATTCTGCCCCAAGACAATTTCAGGTAATGTTTATAGGAATCTGGATCAAGGAAAAGATATGGTTAAAAAACTTGATCCAGATTCCTATAAACAGTCTAGCTACAGTCAAATAATAAAATACGATCTAGCTTCATATTCAAGAATGACTTGAGTAACCAAGGCACTCTCCCATTTCTCCTATACTATTCCCCTAGCCCCTGGAGTTCCACAGAGGGCTGGTCTCCCTTTCATTGATATCTTCATCCCTTCTCAGTGGAAAAGGCTGCACGTCAGGTGAGTTTGGAGGCAATGACTGAATAAGACCAGAGTTCAATGTACTTATCACTCCATATCCATTCAGCTAATAGAAAGCCTTTTTTCCCTTTAGTCTTGACCTATAATTCATATTTCCAAGGGGTTTTCCCCAAGAGTCTGGAAAGGGCTGTAGAATAAAATATTATTCCTTAATATTTTCAGTTTTACTATAAATAAAGTTTTAAATATGCTTCCAAATTCTTATCAGTGTGAATCCTCCCTTTAACCAGTGAATGTTATAATCCATCCAGGGCTTCTTATCCTATACCATTCTTGTCCTTGTCCTCCCATAAATATTCCTGTGATCAGTGGTGCGGCAAGGAATACAGCGTGTGTGCACTGCCCCTGGAGGCAAGGGACCTGGGTTCTAATCCCACCTCTGCCATCTCCTACCTGCATGACATTGGGCAAGTCACTTTACACCTCTGAGCCTCAGTTTCCTCATCTGTAAAATGAATGTATTGTTATAGATGCCCTCTGAGGTTCCTTCCAGTTCTGCATCATATGAATGTTTGAGCTGGGGGGGGGGAGGGAAAGATGGCTTAGCACAGTATGTGCTCCAGTGTATGCCTTCCAGTATATTGCTCTGGGAGGAATCCAACCTCTGCCATGAACTTACTGTGTGGCTTTGGGAAAAGCCACATCCCGTCCCTGGCCTCACTCAGCTTCCTCAGAGGTAAGAATAATGTGGGTGAAAGGACAGGAGACAACTAGTCAGAAGGCCTCCAAGGTGGAATCCTTGTCACTCACCAGTTATGTCACCATGACTTAGCTACTTCAGTCTTCTGGGGCAGATCTCAGCTTCTTCATCCTTAAAATGAATAGATTGGTCTTAATCCCCGAGCACCCTTTTAGCTCTGATGTTCCATGGTTCCAAATCCTCATTCTCATGGTTCTATGGTTCTTCATGGTCCTACATGGTCCCTCACCTGGTGATGGGCCAACCACAGGGTAATGAATGAAAGCATCTGCCTCGTGGGATTTGGGTCAGCCCTTGGTCTGGAGGGCAAATAGTAGCAGCCAAAAGGGATCCTGAACACCTGTCAGGGCGTGGACAAAGCTGGGTCAGGGCCCTGATCATCTCCTTCCCCAAAATCTCCACCATGTTTCCTGTCCTTCTGCTTGAAAGCCTGGTTCCTATTGCCTTGGGATTCCAGGCTTGTTGGTGTGGTGTCTACTGTACCCTCCTTAAGCCAATAGTGAAACCTAGACCCCACTGGAACAAAGGACCTTTGCAGGGTCACTGCACTCCCATCTTCTATTTGCTCAAATCATTCCTCTTCCATCCTTGGAATGAGAAGCAATTTGGTTTAGTGGATAGAGCGCAGGACTTGAAATTAGGAAGACCTTGGTTCAAATCCTAACTCAGGAAGTTATTAAATGAGATAACAAATGTAAAATACTTTGCAAACATTAATGCACTCTAGAAACACTCGCTATTATTATTATTACCCTTATGACTCTGGGCAAGAAGAAATTCTCCTTTCTGGGCCTCAATTTGCTTCTCTGTAAAATAAGGAGGT